TATTTCGTTACCAAAGAGAACACTCAAAAAATTCACCGTTTTCACCGAACTTTCACGCACCGGAGGACTGTAACGTCTCCGCCAAAAATTAGTATTCTCAGAAGCGATAAATTAAGCCTAGCCAGAGAAACATTCCTTCCTGTAATTACTATGTTAATACAATTCGTGCGTTATTTGTTGGCCAATCGAACCGAACTTTCGGACAGATCGCGTTTCGCGAGCAGCATCATCGATGCTGCTAAAAACGACTGATCGTCCACGTGGATAACAAATACGAGTGGCATGCTGGCAATAGATTGAAGATGAAAGGGAAACGTCGGGACCTCCAGATCCCGGCGTCGTCCTAGAGCGCGAATTATATTTGCTCGGCGAAAAGGTGGGCGCGAAAAGGACGAGAAAGGAAAAGGGCGTAACTAGAAAACGGCTTGATAAACACCTTGAGCGAGAACATCCATCCATATATTCATGAGAGCCGCGGCCCGGCCGACTCGAAAGCCTTTCCCATTATTGCATAAGGTTACGTTTGCGGTTGGTGAAGCAGAAATGCAGACTTTGCGAAAATTCCGCTCGTACCGTCTGCCTCCACGCTCGCCGACCACGAGGATTTACTTGGTGCTCTTAGGCTGCATTTCCGTAACTGTCGCACACGAATACAAAGTTCCGCGGGTTCGATTTTGTTTAAACTCAGCCAAAAATCACCGTTCGCTGTGCGGTTTCCCGTGGCAACGGCCGTGGGACGATCGCAATCGAACGAGACGCGGACGCGAGCACGGGATTACGAAGACAAAGCGTGCCAGTGGATGTTCCCATGGTCCATTAGTCGCAGGTCGCTCAAAAAATTTTCCGAAATTGAATATAATATACGGAGGGTTCAAACGCGACAATTAGGTACTTTTCACAGTTAAAAATAGTCTTTACGTTCGAAACGTTCAGACCTCGCACTGAGTGGTTTCTGGACACGTCTGCGTATCAATATCCGCAGACTCGTTCAATCTTTGCAATTTATGCGATAAATACGTAAGATCTATTATCTAATGATAATAGAAAATACGGTGGTCGTACAATTACGCAAGCGAAGTATTGTAAATGGCGGAGTAGGAAGTATCGAAGCACGGGAACAATACGACTGAAAATCGTATTAAATACGTCCCACGTGTAGCACAATCTCGACTGGCTAACGAAGTTCCGCGTACCGACGTAATAATACGTGTCCACGGGCTCGAAAACGAAAGATTTCACTGGATATAAAACGGTTTCTCAATCAAAAACGTTCCCGCGCGGCAATCTCGCCGATCGGAATACGTATCGCGGATCGGCTCGCGTAGTATGTTTTAGTCGTAACTCGTATCAAATAGTTACTCAAGAAAAAAACTACGGCAACATAATAACAGCAATGGAATGATATAAGATCTTAGTGATCATGCATTTCACGGATCTTAGCGCCTTCCGCGTGTTTTAATTGGCCGGTAGGGTTGGCGAACGTAACATAATCGTTGGGCGAAACAGATTGCCACCGGCGTAGAATTACAATTGGTCGCACGAAAATTGGCCACGTAGTGGCGTCGATGCGTGTTATTAGCTTCGAATTCAATGAATGAAACTGCTGCGTCCACAAACAAATAGATTCTTGTCACGGGGGCTCGCGCAATTGCCTGGCACTCCGCGAGCCACGTTTCATCCAATTAATACGCATCATTACGCTCCGCGATGCAGATTTTTCCTTGCCCCGGTATTCGTCCCGCGGGAACGCGGCAAAAGGACGCGCAACTCGCAAGATTACTTTATCAATTATAATAATTAGTTTTACGGAAAGCTGAAAATTAATTTGCAACACGAAATTTTAGCCACACGAACTCTGCAAATCTGTCGAATCGAGCTGTCGAATTCGTAGAGCTCGCCACAAGTTCTCGAAAATTTGCTACGAAAACTTCGGAAACGAGAGAAATGCCTTTTTCCAAATAACTATATTTACACCGAGGTTTAAAGTAAAATCACTTTTCCATGTCTACCGCGATAAAAAGTATATGTGTACTAATACATTTGAATCGTAATCGACCGCGTAACCAACCACCTTAAATTAGTGTCGCATCATTACGTAAAAACAGGGACACGTAGCGGTATGATTATCGGTATTTTTCGGTTCTAGAATTAAAATCCTTATGCAAACCATAAATACAGAAATACCGGTATGACGTCATACCGGTACGTTTATACGGAAACACCGGTATATTTCTAAACATTTACTGGTATTCTTATTTATTTTCTATATCGGTTTTCTTATTTCGATTAGGAATATTAGAAGGCCATGAAGGACCATGAAGGCCAATCCACACAGTTGACCTTGAGGATCCATATACAGCCGTAAGAATGCATTATTGCTCTAATTCCTCGAGATAACGAACCGCTCTCGCCCAGTTCACGATGTGAACGGGAAGCAAGGGGCTAGAAGGGGAGGGTCTGTCGCTTGTCATGCAACGCGTCGCATTTTTCGAGTTCGCATAAGGCTTTTAATGCGAGAACCGAAAAATACTAGTATAAATATCGGTATCGATATTTCGGTAATAATCGATTTCAGTATTATATCAGTTTCGATATAGCTTTACTAGTAGTATAATACCGTTATCATAATTATACCGGTATTAAGACCGATGCATAAAAATACACAATCGTTTCACAGCTTTTTCAGAATACAAGCGCGAGCAATTGTAACAACGACTTAATTCCTTCAAGAAAATGACGAAATAATATTCGTACCAATTTCGCGCTTTGGCGCATCGTGCACGTACGGACAAGTGAACTTGCCATAACAATCCAGAAACTGAAGATTGGAAAAAGAAGTTTTTCCGTCCCGGCAAAAACCAACCAGCAGAATCGGATTCGCCATGACAAAAAACCGCGACACGATTGCACCCGCGATGAATAACGTATGACTGCAAGTGCCGTGAATTTAGTTCCCGTTTTCAGCAGCCCCTGTCGCCACGTAGAGACCCGCCACAGTAGTACACGAAGGGTGCTAACCGTAAAAGTTTCCTCTAAATTCATCACCGAAAACGATTCGATATTGCCGGAAGGCTAGATAGAAACTATCGCCAAACATCTTCCAATCGCGTTCGGCTGCGGCGTCGATCGAACCGGATCGAAGCTAATCGAAGCTGACTCGGCTAGTCGGAACGTTGCGCACCGGTCGGCTCGACTCGGCTAGGCTAGGAATCAAATCAATATTTTCAGATTCAAATATGGAGATTCAAATTCAGATATATGGAAATGTATTCCCGCCGATAAGCGTGATAAACCACGGATACGCGGGATATTCTAATGCCTTCCAACAGGCGAGATCAAGGTACAAAGTCATTCCGAGATTAACTGCACCCACGGGAGCCGGCCGGTTGATAACCAAAAATCGCTGTGCACCGTAGTTGCGAATCAACCGCGAACACCGGCCCGATATATCGGCTGGTAACTGTTTCGCCGCGGATCCCGTCGGCTTCTCCTTCGAAGTACTAGGCCGCTTTTATTTTCGCCGTCGTTAGAAATTGATGATCATCCGCGGGATCGTTTCGAAACAGTTACACACGCGCCCGACGGCCGGAGAAAAATCGTTACGCGACACCGGCTGAATTTCACATGAGAACTGACCCAGCGTACGTTTTATTCCCTTGGAAAAAGCTCGACAGCCAGGCACAGTGTCGGCAGACAGAGATGCTACCCCGTTAGCGACGGCAAAGAAGGCGCAAAGAGGCGGAAGATGTAACTTCGACGACCTGCCTCCGGAGAACTTCCAACAGTTCGGTTCCCGCTTTAATTAAGCTCTTAATATTAATGAAGCTCCGGGCAGAATGTGAGTACAGAGATGTAGAAACGTATTGTGAACACTAATCGGATTAAAAAGAGGCGGCGAAGTTGAATCCGTATTAATTGCGCCGCCGCGCCGCGCCGCGTCGCGCAGCCGGTCCGCTACGGCGGTTCATCCTGTAATTGAAAACTTGCCGGTAAGTAATGAGGAAATTCGAACGCGATCGATGCATAATTCTTGCAACCGCATTCGACCGTTCGAAATGTAATTACCGCAGCTTTTCTTACCGGTCGATGAGAACGAAAGAAAAGAAACGTCCACTGATATTGTTAAGTCCATAGTTTAACGTGTTTAGGGTCGTGTCAGTCACCGATGACGCTATGCTTTCCGTTCGGAACGCGTCGGTCATCGGTAACCGACGATACATGAAATTTTAAAAATTATATTCTTCTATGTAAATAAATTTTAAACAACTTTGCGATCACGAATGAATATACCTAAATATTACCTGCTACCAAAATCATTTTATTGAGTATTATTAAAACACGATATTCGCAGATTTCATAGAAACCTGAAACTAGTGGAAACGAGAGCTAAAACGTAGCTAAACGGAAACGAAGACAAAACAGGGTTGGCGATTAACTTGTTAACGCGACGACTGCCGAGCCTATTTTGAAGAAATCTGTTCCAGACGCTAACATTTAAGAAAACGTAAACAAACAATAATAAGTAAAAAATAATAAATAAATCCTTTCCTCGCATCACAGTAGCCAGCTACCACGAGATAACTCGTGATCAATAGTGAACATATTAAAACTACGGACGAGATTTCGAAAATTCCGCGAAGAACATGCCGTCGTTGAAAACGAGAGAACAGAAACGTCCTCGGATTATTCTGTGAAGTACGAACGAGCTTTTGAAAATTTCGCGAGAAACATGCCGTTCGTTGAGAGCGAAAGAACAGAAACGACTCGAAAGATTGCGAGGCTCGTTCGCGTAGCCGGCTCGGCTCCGAAAGCTCTAGCACCGGCATTAAGGAAGAAATTGAACGGAACGCGAAACTACTTGCTAAATGTTGACTGACAAAAGCCGACGTAGGAAAGCGTCGTCCACGGCGTCGTTCTCTTCCTTTCCTCCTCTCGACTTCCTACTCCGCAACAATTTCATCGGCACGCTCGAGTTGCCCGCCCGGACCGGCCGTTGCGTCCCCTATAAAAGCGGGGGGTAGACCATCGAGGAATCAGTGTGCTCACTGTCGACCAACATGAACAGCACAGAGAAGCTGAAAGTGAGTAGCCGCGGTCGGACCAGCCACCTGAACTCTCCCGTCTCTCGGTAGTCGGGCAACGCGAGCCGGGCCGGGCTGACTGAAAATTCGCACGCCTGATACGTTTCGGGGGCGACCGGGAGGAAGCTCGACTCGCGATTACCTACCTACGAAATTCCCACCGATCTCGTCGACAGGCGACGACACAAGTAAACGGTTCTAACGCTTCTAAAATTACTGTTTTCTAGATCCTGTTCGTCTGCGGCCTGGTTCTGTCCGTCGCGGCAGAGGAGGCGAAAAAGACCGCGGAGGAGTTGAAGCCTAGCGACAACACGAAAGCTAAGCGAGGTTTGGAGCTGAGTCTCGGGGGCCACGGATTCGGAGGCGGTTTCGGAGGCGGTTTAGGAGGAGGTCACGGAGGCGGTTTTGGCGGCGGCTTGGGCGGTGGCTTCGGAGGCGGCGGCTTCGGAGGCGGCGGCGGAGGCGGCGGAGGCGAGAGCATATCAGCGGAGCACATCAGTGCAGTCACGGTCACGAAGACCGTCCACGTACCGGAGCCGTACCCTGTCGAGGTCGAGAAACACGTGCCCTACCCCGTCAAAGTCCCGGTCAAAGTGCCGATCGACAAACCATACCCCGTCCACGTGCCACAGCCTTACCCGGTCACCGTTGAGAAGCACGTACCCTATCCGGTCGAGAAGCCAGTACCTTACCCGGTGAAGGTCCCTGTCAAGGTTCCGGTAAAGGTGCCTTACCCGGTCAAGGTACCTATCAAGGTGCCGGTCACGGTGTCAAAGCCGGTGCCCTATCCCGTTAAAGTGCCCGTGGTCGTGAAGGAGGCGGTGCCCGTTTTGTTGCAAGAACACGGCCACGGAGGCTTCGGCGGCGGCGGCGGCGGCGGATTCGGAGGCGGATTCGATGGCGGATTGGGCGGACATGACTTCGGCGGTTTCGGTCACCATTGAGGCAAAGGCCAGCTAGCCCAATACCCCGACGAGGTTGGAAGTCTTTGACCTTCTCGACGACTCGTTCCCGACGACACACGCCGATCTCGCGTGGCCGGTTCACCTCGGTTCTCGTCGAGAAACGTCGAGAACTAATCCAGCTCGCGACGAGCGTCGTCGCCTAGAATGCACCGACATTGTATTCAACGTGATCCCAACCTCGAATTGTATTATATTATGTCTTTTCCTCCTCTTTTTTACAAATAAATAAAGCGATATTTTTTATACATAACGTGGAACGATTGTGTAACTGCGGCACACGAGACCGGCCGACGAAAGGAAAAACCGTGTTAACGGTTACGTGATCGCGGGGAATCGCCGCGGCACTTTCACCGATTAATGTTACGTTAGCCGATATACACCTGCTCTACCCTCTACCGTGTGCGAGGTGTCACGGTGAAAGAGACGCGTATCGTTTGGAACGATCGTTAAAGCGAACGGTACCACGCACGGATTACGGTTCTAGAAAGGAAAAACGAAAGAAGGAAACCGCTCTCAGGCTCGCGTTAATCGACGCGTTTCGAGAGCTATCGCGTGTGCATCGCGAGCTATTTCGACACCGGCCAATATCCGTGAAATTCGCACGGGGGATCTAGAGCCTGCTGTGTCGAAATTCGGTGATTTTCGTTCGACGAACAGGCTCGATGCGTGCTGGGAAAACGCTCGCTTCAAGAGTGCGGGATTTCAACCGTTCGATATACATACACACAGCGGCGCGTATTAGAAATTGCAGCTTCACGTAACCGCGGAGCGAGCGCTCTTTTTTTCCACGTAGCCTGATTTCGCGGCGCGCTTATCCGACGTCAGATAGAAACTGAAAGTGACTCTGGGACGGATAAACGGATTTGAAAATCTAGGAAAGTGGATTCCCGGCGGACGTCGCGTCGCGTCGCGTCGTCGCAAGCTGCAACACTCGAGTCGCTACGTGCTCGTGCACCTCGCGCAAATTATAGCAGCTTATCGTGGCCAGGTGAGTGCGACCCGCTTTGCTTGTTTCAGCGGATTCAGCTCGGAACGAGAGGAGAACTCGCTTACGTCGATTTCGAACCACTGAGGAATATCCTGCCACGGGTATCCGGTCTATCGACCTTGTCCAACGATCAAGGGAAAGCGCATCGATGCGTTAGAATCGCGTTTCACGTTGTCGCCGATCGATTCTAGAATTGCATCGGCCATCGGTTGTGTTCACCTTCGCGAATCTCAGGCTAGATCGCATAAGATATTACAGTGGCCTGGACACGGATATAGGTAGCAGCGAACAGGATCGCAGTATTCGAGCGGCCAACTGCTTCGTTAACGAAGAGAAAAGAATTCTTGCGGATAGATGGTAAAATGTGATAGATTTAAGTTATTCGGTTATCGAAGTTATTTTTTATTATCTGTTCATGTAGCCGTTCTGTTATAATAAACGAATTAGTATCATAAACGAATATATTGAAGGATATCAGTTCATCGGGCGAAGCAATTAACGAATGCACTCTGCGGAACCACTTTATTCTTAATAATATATTATAAAGAAAAAAAGCATTTTCTGCCTGTATTCTCTGTATCTGTCCCATATGATTTGAAAATTCTGCTCTTTCTCTTCCAAACGCAGCTTAAATCTGTTTCAAACTTTCAAGAAGCTGCGCAATGTCAAATTGAAGGAATCGCTGTTCTTCATATAATCGAGATGGCAACGTTATAAATTAACATAAAAATCGCTGCAAGGTTTTCTCGTTTGAAGAATTACTGTTTTCACTGTTTTGACGTGAATCAAAAGTGCTTTCTCCAGCCTTTGCCGCGTTAAATTATTCAATTAAACCGAGGCTTGTTCAACGCGATACAATGGTAGCATTTAACGAAATTAAAAAATTCAATCCGTGTTTGAAAGAGAGAGAGAAAGAGTAGAAATTTAAGATTGTACTAAAATACGATGCTAAAAAAGGAAACATACTTATGACAACATAAAGTCGATCGAAAGATTGAATTCAGAAAAATATAACGATGTTTGTGCTCCTTAAATCCTGTTTGAAATGTTGCATTGCGAATCGGGCGCGACATTTCGATTAAAAGGTCAATAAAGTGAAACTAGTCTCTGAATCTTTAAAAAGATAGAAAAAACGTGAGCAAACCCTGTCGAATGGAGCGTAGATTAGAGTTGACCGCTCGGACCGCTATGTTTACATCCACCCCCCTTTGTACCAAATCCGTGTCAACATGTTGCGATACCTTCTATCTTATCAAGTAATTTAATTATACGCGTACATTTGTACATATCAGCAGTATGAGTATCAGCACCGTTATCAGATTGTTTCTTTCAGTGTTTCTTTTCGTATTTGAGGAAAAACCCGCAACACGAATTGCTCGAACAGCAGTACAGAAAAACGCAATCCCCTCTATACGACCCGAGCCCGGTAATGAGTGTAAGTACTCTGCGGCGTAGTTTCCGAAACAAACGTGGCGGGAGTCGGATTTTTTTTCTACGGTGTGATTCGTCACAGACGAACAAACTCTGAAAGTGTTGCACCGTAGCATTGGGAAAGTCGTACACACGTGTCACGTTTTGCCATTTGACGATAAGCGTGCGAAGGCAACAAAGTGCCGCGTAGACACCGCGAATAAGAAACTATTGACCGGAAAAATTGGATTTTTCATGGGGAAACAGCGTACGGCGGTGGGCGGTGATTTCGCGTAGACCTTTTTAAAGGGGTAGTTTGTAAACTACGACGCGGCGAGGGCTCGCCGGCATTTAATGGTTGCCAAGTCGTTAAGAAATAACCATTAGCCAGGTTTATCTCTTAGAGACCAGGCGAGTTTTAAAGGCGTGCTAACCGATACTTTCGTGCGGGGCACCGGGACTCGCGGACGGTCGGTTAGCAAATCCCGTTATTTAACATGCGGCAAGCCAGGTAATCATATTTAATGGTCTAGGAAGTTCGCGTAAGAGGGAGAGAGAGAGAGAGAGAGAGAGAGAGAGATTTCTTCGATTAGTCGCGACCCGCGTGTAGATGCCGTTCGGGTGTAAAAGCGAACGATGCAAATACAATGTTCTCCTCGCGCGTTACGGTCAAGTATGTTGATTGCATGCCGGGAGTTACGTTTCCGTCAATTGTGACGTAAACGTTTCTTTGCCGCGAACGCATTATTTTGCCGGTCTGCTGCTTCGCGCTCGTACTTTTAATTCCGAGACGTCCACGAGCCAGGGGGACAAAATATCGTCGTCGTTGAAACATGGCCAAAGGTTGCTCGTAAATAACTCTTAGAAAGCTATAATCGTTTGTGGCTAACGCTTCCGACAATATCCGACACCTTATACAATCTCCCGATCTCGGGAAATTTCGATCGCTCTCAACGACGTCCAGGTACGTAATTTCGTTTTCCACACTGTTTCTAGAAACACACCGTATGCAACCGGCTCCTGCCCGTCGAGACGTGGAATTCGAGAAACTTCCGTATAATACGGCGTTTCCCGTGCAAGAAACACAAAATGCGAACGGCGAACTTCACAAAAGTGCATTGGCCCGTATCGCGAAGTTTATGAAGATCCCTCATCAAAATGTAAGCAACCGAGACTAACATACTACATCGGGGAAGCGAAGCACAGAAACAGAGAGCCCAAGGTGGATGTTTCCCTACAAAAGGGTTCCTTCCGTTGTCTGTAAAGAAGAAGACATCGCCGTGCATTGTTCGACGTTAACACGTTCCGTGCCACGTGTACCATCGATGGTACACGTGGCACGGAACGTGTTAACTGTCTCTTATACACATCTAGATGTGTATAAGAGACAGCGACAAACACCGAAGGGATGCGCTAAACTTTCTCCTCTTGTAGATGTGTATAAGAGACAGCGACAAACACCGAAGGGATGCGCTAAACTTTCTCCTCTTGTAGATGTGTATAAGAGACAGCGACAAACACCGAAGGGATGCGCTAAACTTTCTCCTCTTGTAGATGTGTATAAGAGACAGCGACAAACACCGAAGGGATGCGCTAAACTTTCTCCTCTTGTAGATGTGTATAAGAGACAGCGACAAACACCGAAGGGATGCGCTAAACTTTCTCCTCTTGTAGATGTGTATAAGAGACAGCGACAAACACCGAAGGGATGCGCTAAACTTTCTCCTCTTGTAGATGTGTATAAGAGACAGCGACAAACACCGAAGGGATGCGCTAAACTTTCTCCTCTTGTAGATGTGTATAAGAGACAGCGACAAACACCGAAGGGATGCGCTAAACTTTCTCCTCTTGTAGATGTGTATAAGAGACAGCGACAAACACCGAAGGGATGCGCTAAACTTTCTCCTCTTGTAGATGTGTATAAGAGACAGCGACAAACACCGAAGGGATGCGCTAAACTTTCTCCTCTTGTAGATGTGTATAAGAGACAGCGACAAACACCGAAGGGATGCGCTAAACTTTCTCCTCTTGTAGATGTGTATAAGAGACAGCGACAAACACCGAAGGGATGCGCTAAACTTTCTCCTCTTGTAGATGTGTATAAGAGACAGCGACAAACACCGAAGGGATGCGCTAAACTTTCTCCTCTTGTAGATGTGTATAAGAGACAGCGACAAACACCGAAGGGATGCGCTAAACTTTCTCCTCTTGTAGATGTGTATAAGAGACAGCGACAAACACCGAAGGGATGCGCTAAACTTTCTCCTCTTGTAGATGTGTATAAGAGACAGCGACAAACACCGAAGGGATGCGCTAAACTTTCTCCTCTTGTAGATGTGTATAAGAGACAGCGACAAACACCGAAGGGATGCGCTAAACTTTCTCCTCTTGTAGATGTGTATAAGAGACAGCGACAAACACCGAAGGGATGCGCTAAACTTTCTCCTCTTGTAGATGTGTATAAGAGACAGCGACAAACACCGAAGGGATGCGCTAAACTTTCTCCTCTTGTAGATGTGTATAAGAGACAGCGACAAACACCGAAGGGATGCGCTAAACTTTCTCCTCTTGTAGATGTGTATAAGAGACAGCGACAAACACCGAAGGGATGCGCTAAACTTTCTCCTCTTGTAGATGTGTATAAGAGACAGCGACAAACACCGAAGGGATGCGCTAAACTTTCTCCTCTTGTAGATGTGTATAAGAGACAGCGACAAACACCGAAGGGATGCGCTAAACTTTCTCCTCTTGTAGATGTGTATAAGAGACAGCGACAAACACCGAAGGGATGCGCTAAACTTTCTCCTCTTGTAGATGTGTATAAGAGACAGTGGTAAGTTCGATCACGCGTTAACACGTTCCGTGCCACGTGTACCATCGATGGTACACGCTTGCATGTTTACTTAGTGAACCGAACAAATTGTTTACAAGAAATTTAGACCCGAGAATCAATTTCCACCGCAAGAATGGGCGTTGATAAGTTTTTGTTACGTTGTTATGTGTACGAGAATTAATAATTGCACGTAATACATCAAGTTTTAGTAAAATATCAAAGTGTGAAGATTCGAGTAAAAAAAGCTCGGCACGGAACGTGTTAACGCGTGATCGAACTTACCATCCGCTAATTGGTAAGGCATAACATTCTGCAGCAACGACTGCAACAGTAAGTTGACTTCGATTGCGCGACATGGAAACGAATATTCACCGTGAGGATAATAAACACGGTACGCGGAATAAACGCGCGCTATACCTTGTCCGAACACGCGGTCAAGTATTTCATGATTGTGCTCCGAATTTTCGCGAGAAATGCGCGAACGCGCGCGCAGAGAACGGTTAGAGAAGAAACGATTGCAAGAGATAACTGCCGTGTCGCGCGGGTGCATACAACGTGCTGCAACCGGGATTCCGCGGTTAAAGATCGGTAATGAGACTGAGGGGAAGACAATCGATCCGATGGGAGAGGTCCGCGTGTTCTACACGCTTCCTCGTTCTGCGGAAATTGCTGCGAGCCGTTTCGGAGAAATCGGACGCTGCTGCGATACGGCGCGGGACGCGTCTGGCGTTGCGCAACGCAATCTGGATCGGTGTGTTTTTCGTTTTACAATTTAAAGAATCGTGACTTGGCGCTTGCATCAATCTCCATTGTGCCTTCCGTCGAGTGTCTCGCGGTGTACGAATAAGGAGGTCCTTTCACGTTCGCGTCGCGTCCTTTTTCTTCTTCTCCCCTCCCCCTTCTTCCGTCGATGTACACGCGTACGTGGAAATCCGTCGGCGTTACGTCAGGAGCTTCCCACTGTACACGCGCGCCGATTGCGCCGGCGAACGTTATCGCGAAATCTCGATGCGTTATTATTTCCGCTAACCGCATACACGATTCCCGCGCGGCGATCAGCTCGCGTCTTCTTCGCATCGCGTGCCGCGCGGCGATTAAGCAATTTACGCGCGCCCGGGGTATTTCATTAATACCGACGCAACATTGTCGAGCGAGCCGCGCACACGCAGCAATTACCATTTCAGCGTATTTGTTTTTCGTCCGGCTTTTCTTTCTCACGCGACAACCCTTCATTCATACGGAGAGCCACTCGTTCGGCGGCGAGCGGTTTTCCTTCGACACGAAATCGCGTAACAAATTACACGTTGACGAATGTCCAACCAGTTATTGCGGTAACGGGCGATCGTTCGTTGAGCCGCGAGATCCTGCTAGAGAAATCTCGATAAAAAATAATAAGAGCGAGCCTGCACGCCTATTGGAAAGTGATGACCGAAAGCGACTGTGTTTCAACACGGAGAGGGGCCACTTGTTTCCAGCGAAACAGCGCGAAAGAGCGCAACCATCGCCGCGATCGTTATCGCTAAACGGTACATCGCACGCAGTGATATAGAGTGGTGCAGGAATGCGAGTACGCGCTAGAAAACTGGAACTTACTGCACGCATGACGAACCGTTGCACAGTTTTTGCTAGCCGACGGACCATTTTTTTTTTGTTCCACCTTGGCCCGATATGACGAAACGATTTTATCGTGTATTCGCACTCTTCGTTTGCGAGCAAGCTACCTTTCACTAAGCACGTGAACATCGTGTAAACAAAACTTTGGCAAATCGAATAGAGCGTGATTCGCGAGATACGTCTCGAGGATTCTACGCGGTGTATTGCTCGGATGCGGAACACGACGAATCGTCGCGAACTCACAGAAGGATCACGGATCTCTCCCCGTCTCTGTTCTTTCTTTTTTGTTCGAGGATCCGCAAATTTCGCGAGGGCTGCGCGACGACGACGACGGGCGACACGTCGCGGCAACGTGAAAGGAGTATAGAATCCTTCATTCCACACGATCCGTCACGTTCGTCGATAGACGAGCTTGTTTGCTCGAGAAATGATTGTCAACGTTACGTTAATATTGGTACAGTCAACAGCCATGCGCTTCCGGTTTGCGTTTTACTTGTAAATTCGAAGCTTGCCGCTGCAGCGCGAAGCCAGCGGGTGTGTAATTACGGAATGCCAACCAAGAATTTGATGCAGACTAACCGAAAAGTAGATCACGATTACGCGAACCAGGCTTCCGACTACGGGTACATTTCGATTTCCGAGACAACCGTTCGATTTCGAAGTGCGATGGTTTTCCGATTTCTTTTGTTCCAAACGACTAAGAAACTTCGTTGCCACGATCTTTCGTCCACGCTTTAACAAGTTCCATAATTCTTCAGATAAATAAAAAGGTAAAACTTTCTGTAAGCGGTCGAATACTTTCACGGTAAGACGTTGCTGCCATTTTAGTTCTACTCATATGATACAAGGAAGGAAATTACTTCCTTTATTCAGCACCTAGCCGACTATAACCGACACTGCAATAAAAAAAGAACAAAGTGAAGAAGTCGATTTTTTGAATTTCTAAACGAAACTACCGCTTCGATTAGCATCTCACGCCAGGAGTATTGAACCCATCAAGGTAACTAATTCCGGTTGAACTCATAAAAGTGCTGCATGCTTAATGAAGCAAATGTATTCTATCTGTGGGACACTACGATAAGTCTCGTGAATCATCAGGAAATGCACTTCCAGACGCACAAGTTAATTCGAGTAGACACTTCGACCGTGGAACGACGCTGGCGTTAACGATCTTATCGGCACAGCAGTGGCGGAGTTGAAACCAAGAAAGGGAAGCAAATTTTCTAGACGGAAGATAAGCGTCGGAGAAATGTACGATCCCGTTCGTTTACATATTACGACGATTCGAGAGAAAAATTTCTACGATGAAAGGCACAGCCGAGACGACATTAATATTAATATTTATCGTCGTATTAACCGGTCAATCGTGTCGCGGAACCGAAGACAGTAACTTTCCTCGGAAGTGGATCATCTAGAAATTCCTGGTATTGCACAACCCCGGCAGGATTATTTATTTAAATTCCGCTCGTGCCTCATCAACAATCTGTCTCACATGATGCAGAACATTATCGACCTTTCTACTCCCTCTTCGGGAGTTACCGGTCTGCCTCTCCCTTTTTGTGTTTCTTATTTGCATCGTCGCGGAGAAACTTTCCAGTTTCCACGGCACCGGAACCACCCATTGCGATCGAAAGTTCCCTGTGTGCCAAAACCGTCGCAGGCTTTTGAAAAATCTTTCCGACGCGGCGATGTCGTAACGCCCTGTCGCGGCATTCAGACATGCAGCGATTGAGTCAACGACACTGCGTTCAGCAACGGTCGCTGCATATCATGCATCGTCATGCAACATCGTCCGCGGCACTACAATAAATGCGAGTCGCATGTCGCATTGCACGCGTGTTGGCTCGACGTTACTACATACGCGCGGCTACTTCCGTAAAGCTGTTGTTTGGATTAGAATCAACGTTCTGTTTATAGAATGGGAAACAATGTCGCTGAACAATCTCTAGGAAGCGACCATCCGAGAATTTTGTCTTCGTTCGTTCTGTTGCACAGAATGCTGCATCAGAATCATTATGCAATGATATCCAACGGAGTACGTATGTATAGCGGACTCGGTGCAACCGATTCTAGAAAGTGTTCGCACGCGAAAATTTTCACATAATGGAAGAAATAAAATTAACACGATTGATTTATGAACAACATCGTACTCCTCCTAGATTAAAACTGTTTCGTTTTAACTAAATCGTGGAGATCGAAGATATTGATCCCAGGTTGCTAAGAAACTGCTTGAAGTTTTCTGTAGCTGTATTATTTTCGGTAAATTTTTCTTTGCCTAACTTACGATTATCGTGAAAACCACTTTAAAATTTGAATTTCTTTTTAATTTCCAATTTGTTTTCTATTTTTTTTTTTNAAAGTTGACCTTTGCGTCGACCGAGGGAGGATGGGCCGCGTCACGATGCGGCCTCGCACTCCCGGGGCGTCTCGTTGTCATAGCGAGAAGAGGCGCACCCAGAGCGTACACGTTGGGACCCGAAAGATGGTGAACTATGCCTGGTCAGGACGAAGTCAGGGGAAACCCTGATGGAGGTCCGTAGCGATTCTGACGTGCAAATCGATCGTCGGAACTGGGTATAGGGGCGAAAGACTAATCGAACCATCTAGTAGCTGGTTCCCTCCGAAGTTTCCCTCAGGATAGCTGGCACTCGCTCGTTCTTTTCAATGGACGTTTGCGAGTCTCATCTGGTAAAGCGAATGATTAGAGGCCTTGGGGCCGAAACGACCTCAACCTATTCTCAAACTTTAAATGGGTGAGAACTTTGGCTTGCTTGAATTATGAAGCCAAGAGAGAAAATTTTTTTTTTTTTTTTTTTTTTTTTTTTTTAACTAGAATGTATCATACATAGTAATGAAGACTTTTGAATATCAAACTTAAGCATGTGTACGACAGTAAAATTTAGATAAGCGAGACTATTACAAAGTTACTATGGACAACAATTTAAACAGTTTTTTATAAGTTTGTTAGGGCATACCCTATTGAACTTAGCATAAATTCATGTAAAAGTCATTAAAAGAATAAAATCGGAAGAAAATTGTCGTTGTGGGGAACAAATAAGTTCGTATGTACACAGTAAATATGTATAGTTCATTTTATAAAAAGATAGACTTTTCCATTTTTCTTTAATACGCATGCTTTAAAAGGACTACATAATTACATATCAATAGAGAAATTGTCACTGTAAGATGGAATTAAAGGTACTCACTATATTGGATTATGATGGTATTAAAATTAATTAACTTAATAAAGCGCATTTTAAATTCCATTCGCTAACCGTATTAGTAACGAAAATAGAATTTTATTCCAGTTTCTTTCCTTATATTTATCTACAAAAATATGAAATTGAATTCAACTATTGCTAATCGTAGATTGCATATATTTTACAGTATCTTTCCATTAATACGACTTTCATACTAATAAGTACAAAGCACGGTAATAAATCAAATTCGCAAGTTTGAAATTAAAACGAATTTATACATCAACGCCATAAATTTAAATTCACTTTAGATTCAATCATTATTTCTTTACATGATGCAATATTAAAATTTAATCAAAGGCTATAATACAAGCTTATAAATGAGAGAAAATTATTACACAAGGTGTATCATAAGATGCGAAATTTACTCTAGAAGTGGACAGGTGACACTCTGCATAGTAACGAGTTGTACTGATTATAATTAATTATCCATACATAGATTTAAATATTATACAGTTAACATAATTAAATTTACAATTTACAAGTCATGTTAACCAGGACTGGTATGTATAACTGCACTAACGACCCGTTGTTTTTTTTCAATCGAATTTACTTCTTGATTAGCTTTTTGTTCAGTAGAATAAATGCCTGATGTTTGTTCTGCTTCGATTGGTGTTTTCATATCAGTACAATTGCCGATAGGCGTGGCATTATCATTTACTGTATTAGAATCGCTACTACTACTATTACTACCAAAGCTATTAAGACTCACAGTGGCAGCTTGCTTTAAAGCTAGATACTCATCCACAGAACCCAGTGGATGGTTCTCTGAAACTTTTTTATCTACAGTTTCTATCACTGGGGATGTGGAAGGAGAATTTGGAGATCCAGAAAGTTTAGACAGCCTTTGTCGTTCCCTCAACCGTTTTCGTATTTCTGACTGTATCTTCGAGTCTTTAATTACATTTTGAACATCATCCGTTTGATAGTATCGACTAGCCCATGTTTCAGTCCCATTTGACTTTTGTGCAGAGGACGTTTCTACTTCAGACTTAGTTTGTTCAACTGTCTGCAGTTTCTTTTTATTTTTGTCGGTCTCACTATTCTCTATGTCATCAATGTCACAGTAATTATCTAAATCAATTATTTCATCCAAATCACTGGATATTTCTTCATTCAAGTTTGCTTTGTTTAATGCATCTAAATGCTCTGTTGAAGTTTCTTTTTTTGGCACTAACTTGTCCTGAACCTTTGAATTATTACTATCTCTGATTTCATTTTCATTTAATTTAACATTTTCATTTAATTTCACATTTTCATTTAATTTAACATTTTCATTTAATTTAACATTTTCATTTAATTTCACATTTTCATTTAATTTAACATTTTCATTACCTGACTCATCATTCTTTGTGCTCTTTTTATGTTGACTTTCGCTATGCGATTTTATTTTATGTATGGTTGACTTAGAACTTGTAGTCTTTTGTTGTTCCTTAGCATGCGATCTTCTCTTTACTTTCTTTCGCTTTATACCAACTTTCGCATCACTATCGGTTAAATTATCGCTATGCAAGCGTTTAGAAGCTTCATTCTTATGTGTTTCAGATGTACCATCAATAACTTTATTATCTTTTGAATTATTTGACTCATTTGTACTTTGTGCAGTATTTGTTTCTTTGTTTTTGAAATTAACATTTTCTTCAGTTTCCATAATACGTTCGTTTTGCAATTTTTTATTTATACGTACTCCACTATGATTCTCTCCATCACTTTCACTAGATAATAACTCAATAGTGGTAGTGGGTTGGACAACTAATACTACATCTTCATCTTCAATATTACTGCTTTGCTGAGCACCAATAAGTCTTTCCAATTGCCTCCTGCAACTTTCTTTTTCTCTCTGTTCATCTTGTTCACTTTTATTTCTAGCATTAGGAACAGTATTTCCTTCGATAGACTGTGCAGCATTTGGTACAATATCTTCCTCTTTCCTTATTAAAGCTCGTATTGCCCTAGCTCGCATTTCTAATTCTAATAAATCTAATAGACTATCACCTTCTTTTTCCTTACGTTTATCCACTTCTTCCTCCTTTTTTATTTGAACGTTTTTAGGAATATTGTCAGGAGTTTTCTTATTACTACATCTATTGTCACCTTTCTTCTGTGATAAAAGTTTCCCTTTTTGTTTAACTCGTTCTTTATTCACTTTCCCCTTAAGGACCTGAGAACCTTCTTCCTTTTTAACTAAATCCTCGTCAGTAAACCATTCCTCAGTGTCTGAGATAATTTCTAAAGAAGGTCCTATTACCAGAAAAATAATGATATAAAATACCTAAATCTCCGAATCCATAATTCTAATCGTAATGATTGATATTCATCTGAAAGTATCATTGTACCTGAATCATCAGATTCAGTTGTATCTGAAGAATCTGTCATAGTTTTCCCATTTAAAATGCACAATATACGAGATTTTGACATACCGCTTAATTCATTTCCACACCACTCTTCCAATTGACCTAAATCCATTTTCTACGAAGAATTACACATATTTAAATGAGAAATTTTTGCAAACAACAACCTTACCTTTAATATTTGTGGTAACATCATTTGTATTTTTTCTGCTTTCACAGATTTAAAAAGTTGGCGAGCTAATTCTCGACGATCCGATAAATATTCTTTAATTGATTTCAAATCTTGCATATCAACTTCCTCATCAGATGACAGAGAGGAAGATGAACCGGACGAACTAACATCATCCTGAAATTTTAATTAAACTTAATATATTCATCTGAAGTATTTGACAAAAACGTTGAACATGTATGCAAGTATCAAGATAAGAACAATAATAATGTAAAATAGTAATAACCTTAACACTTTGTGCACTCCTCTTTAATTTTGACATGTTTCCTTTTTGGAATAGTATACACAAAATTCACGCAAACTTTATGTTAGTTTTTAAAACCATTCTCCAAATGACAGAAGCAATATACAACTGAACTGAACCAAATTAAACAAACTTCAAGTGGTCACATACGAAGTACAATCTGTTTACGTCAGACTATTTACGTCAAAAATGTTCCAGGAACGAGTTCTTGAATTGAGAGAACGCAGCGAATTGCTGTGTTCTAATTGGCTGACGATTCGCAACTGAACAGTGCTGCCCTCATAGTCAATAACAAAGATAGGAAATAGCAAGTAAGCAAGACAGCACGATATCAGCACACACATGCGAAACGAGTCACACCAACACCAATCTAGTTTGTCTCATTTTACCGTGCTTGCGGTCTCACTTTTTTCGTGCATCCATATACAGGGTATCCCAAAATTATGGTATTTCCGAGAAACGAAGGATTCCTGAGGTCATTTGAAACAACTTTTTCCTTAGCGGAAACGTGATCCGCGGCCTTGTTTACGAGTTATTAATGAAAAACAGTAACCAATAAGAAGCGAGGGCGCGAAGTTCGAGAGCCCGCAGCACGAGGCTTTGACAGAAAGTTCGTGCCGTTTCTACCTAAGGTGACTCCGACCGCATCCCTTCCTCGGTAAGGCCATTGACCTGGGATCTACAGAACATTGTGCGAGGTGAGTGCATCGACATCGTGAATTGTGATCTTGAATTTCCAAGCAGCAAATGCATCCTCATCGAAATGGGTAAGTTTACTATTAATCATATTCTTCACAATTCTTAAATAAACATGTCCCTCGTGTTTTTCGACGCGATTTATTATTGAATTAGTTTTACGAATCGTTCGTTTAATTCTGTTTGGATACGGAATTATTGAAACAAAAATATCTTTTGCGTAAGCTAGACTTACTGATTATTATGTGAGTTTTTCTTATTGTTAATCTTCACTGTAATCGGCTCAATTAATAATTAAAACGGCTGTCACGGTTAAACTACTTACTATTTCGGCTCCGAAAAATTAGTAAATATTCTTCAGACGTTCCAAAGTAAAGGTTAACTGCGTTTTTCTTAAAAATATCACTATTACGTAGTAAAAAAAATCCGGAAAGTTCACGCTCCGTGACTTGTTCAATACCTCGAACGCGGTTCGAGTTCGTCCTGATCTTCTGTCAAAGCCTCGTGCTGCGGGCTCTCGAACTTCGCGCCCTCGCTTCTTATTGGTTACTGTTTTTCATTAATAACTCGTAAACAAGGCTGCGGATCGTGTTTCCGCTAAGGAAAAAGTTGCTTCAAATGACCTCAGGAACCCCTCATTTCTCGGAAATACGATGATTTTGGGACACCCTGAATGCGTTCTGAATTGGGGAAAGAAAAAGCTCTTGAATTGAGAGACGACTCTACACTCGTTTTCGTCTATGTTTGACTAGTTACTTTTACACTGTTGCAGTGGCGCGAATATTGTGTATATTCAAAGTTATGATATAAAGTTCATGTTATAAAAAATTCAGACACGTGAATTACTCACGTCATCAAGATAAAATAATATTCTTAACATAGTATTTACTATTTTAAGAAAACAATTTGCATAATATTATTTAAATTCCTCAAACATGAAATAATATACATACAAATAAATTTGTTTCCTTTGATAAGATTTATTAGTTTATTTATTATTAGTTTATTTATTGATCAGCTTTACGAAGTTTTATTTAAAATGACAAATTTTTATGTTTAAATTATGGAAAATATGAGAATATCATGAGTTCAGTGACTAAAGTTAACCTATATGGTTCTTAACAACACATTTAACCTATGTACTTTCTTGCGAACGTGTTTCGAATAGAACAAAATACATAGTGTGAATGAATTTATGTTTCCGAGATTTTTAATGTCATAATTGACCAACATGAGTTACAAGCAGCTTGTTCAGTTACAAAACTACAAATTCATTTCAAAATTGAAAAATTCAGTTAATGACATTTCTCAGAAAGTACAAAACTTTGAAACACCGGAAAGACTAAAAGGAACATTTCTTGAGCGATGGGGTAAGTGAATCGTAGATAACTTATAAAAACGAAATAAAATGATATAACAAATGCCTAATTTTATCAAAATATATCTTTTAGGAAGATATTGGAAAGATGTTTACATTGACTACAAGGATGTAGCAGAAAACGTTGTTAAAGAATGCAAAGTAAAACCAATAAAGGCTACAACATATACAACTCGTATGTATCATTTATAATTGATGAACTATAATTAGTTCTTTTATTATACATAGTCAAGTATAAAAAATTAGAAATTCTGTTATTGTTAATTAATTGCGTGTTCCATTAGTTACAGCACTATGTGTGTGTTTAAATAAATACAATCCAGATGAATCTTCCTTTCAAGAACAATTATTACAAAATACTATGAAATTAATGCAAGTTGGAGAACCCATACGAAATCCAGTATCTGAAAATCATGTCAAGTGGCTAGGACAATGTTATAATGAAGGAATCATACGACGATTAAATTTAGGTATTTTTTCAATAATGTGGGTAGGCAACTATGATGAAGCATGTTCTTTATATAAAACAGTGTGTTCTTATTTACAACCTCAGTATATAACGTTTCATCAAAGAATAGTCGATATAGGAATCTTAGGTAAATGGTGGATCTTAGAGGATAGAATGAAAGATTATGATATAAATGAACTAGAATTTAGCGATGTAAAATATGAACAAAATATCTAATTTAATGTAAATATAGACTGTAGAAACTTGG